CAAGAGCTACGCTTACCGAAAAGCTAAACATATCACAGCTGGAGGGGAAAAAAAGAAAGCCAAATAGGAGCACAAAATATACAAGCTGTGAAAGAAACTGAGACCACAGAACTGATCACAAAGGAACTCTAGGAAAGCCCTGCTGTATAAAATCCCTTGTAGATATGCTGCTGAAGATCCATACTGCTCATTTCTGAGCTCAGAGCCCTCCATGTAAATAAAAAACCTAAGGAATATCAACGGGTTTTGACCAGTCTCCTAATAGGAAAGGTCTAAGAAACTCTTCCAAAGTCACCGTCAGATAACTTTGAACATTAAAATACATACGCATACTGGAGTCTGTTTCTATCCTATAATTACATCTTTTTCAGTGACTTTTTTAGGTTTTGGTGGCATTTACTAACCCAGAATGTCTAAGAATCAGACATCTCTTTCCTGTTCAGTCAGACCTCAGATTAAACAATGTGTGAACAAAGTAAGTAAAAATTACAAGGAATGTTTTTAGACCTCAAGGAAATGCCTGAAAACCTGACAAAGAGCAAGACATGCAAATGACATACAAGACATACGAATCCAAACTTCATCACTGGAGATCATCAAAACCAGGGCTGACAACTCTCTGGCAAAGGGGCTGTAACAGAAAATGCTGTAGGAAAAGCAAATGGCTTAGAGGAAACCAGAAACATTTTCCAACTCTCAAGCACCAGTGAATGAACCCATTTGAGCCCTACGTACCTCTGCCTACTCACATCTGTAGAGGGCTGTTCTTCTGCACAAGAAATAATGTTCAAAGGGGCCAGTCTTCCCAACACTAATTCATTTATACAGTATATTCTTTGCAAAACACCATTAGGCTTTGGAACTGGATTTTTATTTCACAGGCATTAAATCATAAACTCATAAAAATCTCTCCTTCTCCTGTTTCATTAACACTGATCTACTCTGCCATTTTGGCTCACCACAGAATATCAACAGGTAGGAGCTTTAACAAAGCTTCCAATGTGTAAGCCTGAGGCAGAGACTGCTCATCAAGTATGTCTAAGGCGTAGCCAAAAAAATCTCAAGAGTAAAGCCAGCAATAGTGAAGATTTTGAATGTTGCAAGCAAGCAAGAAGGTACCAAAGGCAATAAAGTACATTTCTCCAGTAATTTCTTTCAGCCACAGCAAAGTAGCTCCTCAGCCGGCACTTCTGAATCTGGCCACGTCTCTGAGAAACAGCATGAAAGTTGCATTACAACACTTGAGTACTTCCAGAGAGCATTCAGTGCTATCCATCCTTCATAATAACACTAACATGTCCCCTATCATCTGTAAACCACTCTTCCTCTGCTTTCAGCAAATCTACATGCTTTTGGTTTTTTGCTGGAAGTGCTACAGGAAGCATTTAAATACATAACGCCTCCCATGACCAAGGAGTTTCTGAAAACTTCTACCTGAAAGTAAAAAGGGAATATGGATCCTTTGAGCTCTTAGTATACACCTGCACAGGGATGATCTAATGATGAAAGTTGCTCATTGCCTAAAAATCACTGGTAGTTTTAATTGAAAACAAAACAGAAACATACACTTCCAAAACTAAAAGAGCAACTGGTACTGACCACTTTGTCCCCTTATTGGCCATCTCATCAGTGAGGCCAATGAATAACCATGAGAAAAGACACAGTACCTCAGAAAGAAATGTCTCCTGGATGTTTATCTGTCCAAGTCTCACTGAAGGCTCAATGCCAGAGCAATGGATTAAAAGAATGGGATTAGACAACAGGAATCAGGATGGATTTGCATGACCATGCCCAAGAGAATTCTGTTGGATTGAGAATTTCAGTCTCCATGCTCACCTACAATCACAGAATCAGCCAGGCTGGAAAGGACCTTTAGGCTCATCAAGTCCAACTCTTCCCCAGCAATGCCAAGGCCAGCACTAACCCATGTCACTGGGGGCCTTGTCTACACGGTTTGGGAACACTTCCAGGGATGGTGACTCCACCACTGTCCTGGGCAGCCTGTTCCAATGCCTGAGCACCCTCTGGGGAAGGAATTGTTCCTCATCTCCATCTAAACCTCCCCTGACGCAGCCTGAGGCCATTTCCTCTTGTCCTATCGTGAGGAGGTGGCTGGGAGAAGAGACCAGCCACCTCCTGGCTCCATCCTCCTTTCAGGTAGTTCTATCTATCAAGCAGAAGACACTGTATTTCCATTTATATGAACTTTTGGGGGATTTATTTCTTGCCATCTTCACAGCTTTAAATGCAGGATCAAATTTTACAGTAAAAAAGTTGCAGATGTGACTATTCATAATCTTAGTGAGATGCAACACTTGTCATCTGACGCAAAAACTGCTCAGACATCTCTCATTCGTGATTAACAAAACAAGCCCGTGAAAACAAAGAGTGCAAGATGCAATCCAATCCAGTCTAATTATCAGAGGAAATTTCAGATGCTAACAGCCTCAACCAACCTATCTTGCAGAAGATTCTAATCTCAAAAATATGGTTATATATCGCCGCCTACCTCCAAAACTCCGTCACTATGTCTGTGTGCGCAAGCGCCATGGTGGGTTACACTGCACACCCCCTATTAGAACCTGAGCCTGCATGTTCCTGTTTCTGTTCTCTAAGTAACACTGTGCTTGGCCTCAGAATTTCAGGCCTTTGGTGGAAGTGTTTTTCTAAACTTGGAATACTGTGACTACTATATCTGCTATATATTATTAATGATGATCAATAATTCAAGCTTTGCTCTAAGTGTAAAACAGTTAACCACATCAGAAAACAACAGAAAAATACAATAGTGACTTCTGACAGGCCTCACTGAGGGATGACTTGCTAGCCACTTCAAGCCTTTTTAGTTTCTTTTTGATTGTCTAAGGCAAAGCATAAAATCAAAGAGTAGCACTGAACAGAGGTCTTGTGTTCTACATGGAAACTGCAGCACATTCACAAAGTCAGGGTTGAGCACAGAAGGCAGGAAAGAAATGAAATCTCAGTGCAGTGAGAATGAAAGCTACCACATCCAGGTAAAACTGTCCTTAAAAATGGGAAGGAAGACAAGAATAAGCCTACTTTAGTGTTGCAGGGAAAATGTGCAACTACCAAAGACAGAAAGGCAGTGCCACTGCCAGAGAGCATCTAAACTTGCTGTGTGCCATATCTGACTTACTGGATAGCCATGGTGGAACTGAAAGGAGAAACTAGTTCCAATGCAGTAAAAGCAAACACTGGATCACCTTGATGACAGACATGAAAAAACCCCATAATGCAACCCCCCCAAAGTTCAGCATTTCACAAGGTCACATGAGACAAATGCAAAGGTTCCCAACAATCATTTTCCTTTATTCTTTCCTTCTAAGGTACGGAGAGATGTTACAGATAAGACATACCAATGAACTACAGTCTGTAGATGTTTACAGTCATTTCATCCTCAGCTCTGTATCCTGAAGAGCTCCCTCTTCTTTGGCCCATGTCACCAGGTTCACTGGGGCTGATGGCCATTGTTCAGTGTCCAGCTCAACTGCAGCTAAAGCAGCTCTGGAGCTAGCTGGAGAAATGGTGGTACTTCAATACCAGAGCTCAGCCTAGCAACCAGCCGGGCTAAATAAATAATGAAGCATGGTATTCTAACACATAATATAAATACACTTCCAGCAAATTGCTTGGGTCCAAAGGTCAGGCAACTTGTTTGCTCTGTCTTCCAAGAATTTGTAAATCTCAACATGATGTTTAAACACAAACATCTACAAACATCAAAGTTCAATGCTGACATATTTTACACCTCAAACTTGCATGCCAGAATAGCTCTATATCACACAGAGCAAACTGCAAAGCATGTGTAAGGAACTGACAAAACACTATGCAAATTTTTCTTTAAATATCCTCTCATTCTGTATTTCTCTCCTTTATTCTCTCTTGACTCTCATTCATCCTCTCTCACACAGAGGAGTATTTATGCAGCTGTCTCATTTCATGATTCCTGCTTTTCATTATCCATATAGGGGGAGATGAAACTTTGAATCTCAAGCCTTGTTTCAGGGTATGTGTGAAGTTTGTATTCCTGACTGATTCACACACATGGAGGAGATACCTTCAAACACAAGGTTTGGAGGTAAACCATGAGTTCCTGAGCTAGAGAATGGACACACCAGCTACACTGGCATTTCCAGGCTATTGTGCAAACAGATCAAGCTCTCAGACTCTTTCCCCTTCCCTCTTTCCTAAAGGAAACATGCAAACAATCTCACAGCTCCTATTCACATTGTACTTTTCTTCCTTGCTAGGTTCTCATTCATCTTATCTTTGAACAGCTCTGGACTGGCCAAAAGCAAAATACAAGGGACTTCAGAAAGCATAAGAAATGAGTTGTGCAAGTGGAAAACCATCAGGGTGAAACTGAACCCTTCTCCCCATGTTCCCTAGAGCCAGAGCCCTGCTGCACACACTATCTGCCCCTTCCTGACTCAAGACCCCTCGGGGGTGACATGCACAGTGTCACGTTGGGTGACAGGCAGTGGCAGTTCTGCTGTGCCCAAGGAGAGCCTGAGGCTGGCACCAGAGATCAGCTGCACCCTCCCTGCTTGTACGCAGTCCCAGCAACCAGGACTGTCAGGAAGCAGCCTATGAATAGAAATGCAAGTGAGCACTAGCTTCACGCCTGGGAATCACCTAGCTCTCCTCTCCCTGTCACATGAAAACCTTGGCTGGAGCAAAACCCTCCACTTCGTGAGCAGAGAATTCACAAGGGAAGTCCTTTCTCATCATCCCATTTTCTCAGATGAGCTGGGAAGAGACAGGATGCAGGGAAGGAGGAGAGTGGGCAACTTCTGAAATGTAAGTCAGTGTAATGGCTCAGCACGCTGGGTTTTCACAAGATTAGTGCCCCTTCTCCCCTCTCCGAGGTGATCCCATCAATCCCACCCAGAGAAAAAGCTGTTAACCTCCGAGTGGAGGGCTCCGGAGCAGCGCAGAGCAGCGCAGCAGGTGGGAGCTCTCCTCACACCCATGCTCACCTTCCTGGCTCCTCGCTTCGCGAACTCCCTGGCCAGATGCCGGCCGATGCCTCTGCCGCCGCCGGTAACCAGCACGTTCTCCCCGGACAGGTCCCGGAGCTTGGGTGGCAGCACCATGCACACAGCAGCTTTCACCACCAGGTAAACCATCTGCACGGGGAAAAGCAGCAGAGCTCCCAGCCACTTCCAAATCATCCTCTTGTTCCAGGCAAGCCAGGAAGGCAAAATCCTCTTCCAACCCTTCACAAAACCAAGTTGACAGAGAAAGAAATCCAATACCCCTCATGCACCCCCAGATGGGTGACAAGTCTTCCACCCCCTTCCAAAACTTGGGGGGCAATAGATTCTTGGACTGGAAAAAAGCCTTCTCTCCCCCTAAAAAAACTGGGGCAGGAATAAAGTAGTGCAGAAAACCAAGTCACTCCCCTGTTTCTTGATGAGTGTCCTCTGGGATTGTCACATGCAGGTAAAATGGTTTCCTTGCTTTTTAACTGGAAGACAGGGCTTTTAAATTAAAGGAGAGAGAAAAAAAAAAAAGTGAAATTAAAAGTAACCATCCATCCCTTGGCTTCAAGGACCAACATAAAAATCCAGTATCCAAATGGAAGGCTTTTATACTTGGAAAAATAAAATAAAGCAGCCTATGTCTCCAAATTTCAGCCTGCAGTGCCTTCCAGGAAGCTCATTTCTATTCTTAGACTCAGGAAATTGCTTAAATAAGACAGAATTGCCAGGACCTTCTTTGTAAGAAAGGCTCAACTCAGGGTAAGGTTGTTGGTTTTGTTTTCGTATCTATAAATATCTGTAGCCGTTCTGTCCTGAGCCGGTTGCAAAGGTTGAGCTGATAACCGCCTCTCGCTGTCCCCTCGCCTGGTTTTTCACTTGGAGTATCTGAGATCACAGAGCAGGAATTACGCCGTGCACTATTTCAGCGCTGGCTCTTGCTCATTTCTCCCTATTGCGCTCTCTGCCTATCACAGCCGCGGCGCTGGGGAGGTTTTTATACCCCATTAAGCCTGATTGACAGTTAAAGTGTTGGGGAGCTCTCACTACTGTTGCTGTGAGTGGCTGGCTCGGCTCTCCCCTCCCCCGAGCT